AATGTAGATACTTGTCCCAATTAGAACTGCCCAATCTATTTGAAGCCAAATGAAATTTTCAACCAGTCTAACTCAAAACTTCAGTAGACCTTCCAATTTATAACAAGTGCATTAATACCTGTGGGTCATTTTGAACAGAAAATACACTCATTCATCATTATTTACTAAGACTGAGCTAACCAAACAACACAGGCAGTAGGATCTGTAAGTAGAAAATAATTTAAAACGGGTAACAACTACTTCCAAGTGTAGTCAAGATTAAGGCCAGCAATCGAAGTTGCTCCAAGTAGCTACATTATCAAAATCATTTATAACTGCAGCAGTCCAAACTAGCTCCAAGTCTGCATTAGCACTGGTCAATCAAAACAGCTCTGGTAAAAAAGTTCACTTATAAAATGCCTTTTATTCCTATGAACCCCCAAGCTCTTACAGTCGGCCATTCAACTGGTGCTCCTACTAGGGGAACTACTGAAAGAGTTCGTTTTCAACTTGAGAACAAAACAGAAAGCCTCACACAACTCTTCAGTCATGGAAATAAAGAAATGGTCTGCTTTCAGAGGGAGCTGCTGTGACAGTGTGGCAGCACACTCACATCTTTGATATCAACTGTTGGTATCAAAGGGAGAGGTGAGGCTTCACCAGTCTCATACCGGCAACTGCATTAACAATGCAGATCAAATCACTTGATACTCTGCAGATTATTAGGGCTTTGGTTAAGAGAAAACAGTTGCTCAGTGGAAGCGGTATTGGAGAACATTACAAAGGAGAACGTTAGCAGTCTTAGGGCTTTGGTCCAAGAAAAGAAAAGAAAAAAAAATCCAACAAAAACCAAAAGCTGTTTAAAATCATGAGGTAGTACCTGCCACAGCACCGGTCTCACAAATCACTATCAAAAGAAACATTAAAAGACATTCATAAACACGTCAGACTAGAAAGGAAGCACCAATTTTAAGATAGCCAAATATCTGCTATAAAGCACACCAATTCAAACAGCATCGAGTTGCTCCAAATAAATGGAACAAGGTAACAGGAATTTTGCTAAGTAACAAACCACTATTTTCCTGCTGTATTTCAAGAAAAGCAAGAGAACAAGCAAGCACAAAGCTTGAACACGGAAAGTACGTAGGAGTTTGTTAAGCAGCCTGTAACAACTCTTTTTACTCTGTTTGAACCAAATTTTGGTCATCCTCCAGAGTTAGGGAATCAAATACCTCTTACTCTGCCTAGAGACTAACAGCCATGGGTAAATATAGTTCAGTGCATCACTCTGCAAGCCAGCAAACAAACAGTTAAAGACAACTGAAGCTTCTGTATATTTATCCGATAGACAAGACATCAATGATGTCCAGAGATACACAAAGCTCAAGTTTCACACATTCACAACTCCCCCACACCAAGGGGCCAGAGCCATCCTTCTTCAGCCCTAGGCACAGAGATTGATCTGACAAGCCATTGTAAGCCCATCCGCTGATGAGGATGCCAACCGGAGGGCGTTTGCTTAACGAGCTTACTGACCATGTACAGACAAAGGGGACAGAGTTGAAATCACAGCAGGATCAGCTAGTCTAGGATTTAGCCTCACTAAACACCACGGTATATTTCTGGGGCTCAATTTGATCCAAAGAACATTTTACTCCTCACCAGCAAATTCAAAACAGTTCTGCCCTCAGGGGGATGACAGGACCAAGGCTTCCCACCCTCTCTCTCCATCCTTAGCCCCCGTTTCCTTCCGAGAGCCCTGTGCTGGCTGCTAACCTATGGAGAACACACCAGGAGGCAGCAGACCGTACATCACACCAACAACGTCTGCCCCGTATGAATTACAATGACTAAGTTAACTACACCGATTTACCCTGGGAGATGGAGCAAGAAAACAATGCAGACAAGCAGGCTACAATATACCTGAAAATCCACTTTGAACTAAATGTAACTCAGTAATCAGCTTCATGCACACACCAAATCTTGCATGATTAGAAAGCATTTTGATGTAAAGTAGGCCTGGCTCCATGACCTTTAAGAGTTTTCCTTCCAGAAAGCTATTTGTTTATGAGGGATCAAGACTGCTTATATTCACATGGTTTTAGATTTCCAGGACAATTTGCTTTTTGACAGAGCTATTTTATAAGAATTGGGACAGCTGGCAAGCTATAACAGTCGCCATATGTCAAGTTTACAGTGCCCACATTCTTGCTTCCCAGCTAGAGAAAGCCAGGAGAGCCCAGAGAAGAGCACCTTTAGTCTCTCAAAGCAGGCAGCAGTGCAGTCTGTATTTACCAGTACCAACAAGTCCATCAGATCCTCTTCAAATGTGGAAGGCTACCAGGTGTATGCCTTATGAAACCAATTCAAAAGGGGACAGCCCCTTACTTGAAAGCCTTTCTCCTCTTCCCTCCATACCACTATCAAGAAAATAGCCAAAGCTGTGACAACTGAAAGGAGTTCTTAGGAGAGAAAAATTCCAAACTCTCCTGAGAAATTGCATCACACTCTCCGGGTCACACAAACACAAACACACAGCTATAGCTATGGCACTTGATACATCACTCCAAGAAAGCACTCCAAGCACTGTTGCAAGATAACAGAAAGAGAAGCAAAGGTGTAAATGCCAACTACATACAGATTACTATCAGAAAGGGAGACAGAACTTGGTGGGTTTTTTTTTAGAGCAAACAGATCAGATCCCTGGCTTTGCTCCCAAAGTGCACTTTCAACTTTGAAAAAGTTTATGCTTCCCTGTACCTGACTCCATGTCAGTGAAGTCGCAATGCCCCAAGAGAGCAGGATGAAAACACATACAGCAGATCAGGGTGTCTTAGCTTTGCAACATATTAGGTAGGTCAATTAATGAAATCCAATTAATTCACTATTGTACAACACTTCACCCACTCTGAATCTGGTAAGTCAAGAAACACTGCTTTATCAAGCTCACACCTAAGAGGACTTCATTGTTAATCTTCCCATATTCTAACACTGGCATCAGGCTTCTCAGATGCCAGAGGTAACTACAGCTACACACCAGTATAAACAGTTGTTATGTCATGGATGCAATACCCCACCATGAGGACGGTACTGTACCACGTAGCAGAAGGAGGATTTCTCAAATGACACAATTTTATTTGCTTATATTGACAGAGATTTTAGGATTTGCACATATTTTCATTCAAAGACTTAACAGACAAAACATTTTGATTTGCTAACCTGATCTCTGGTAAGAAGGTTTTCTTGTAAGCATCCTCAATGTTCTGGAGATACGAAGGAGACACCTTTTTCTCATATGGCTAAAAACAAACAGAAAACAATGTTGTGAAACGAGTTTTCTTTCTCTCCCTACCAGCACAGATTCCAGCCTAAGCAGAAGGTGCTGCTACACCATCTGCCAAGAGCCCACTCTTGTATCAGCAGTCAAACATCCAGGTGAACCATATACACATTAATTAAAGTTTCAAGAATTAAGACATCTGGATTGTTTAGAATTTCTTACGTGGCATTAAACATCTAGAGTACCCTAAGGAACAAGTCAGTCTGCACTAACTGCTGCTTTGCCCTGTACTATGATGTGCATGGTTTTAATGATTAGCCATATAAGCCATTCTTCTGATATGCTAGTGAATCTAAAAAGAAAGGGACAGGTTGAACAGAGTAAGGTGAAAGCAAAAAACTTTCTTCCAATTTATTTCAGTTTGCTACAGGAATTACCTCATTTTCTTTGAGTCTGTATAAACTAAGAGAACCACACATCAACAGCCTCAAAACGATTGGCTATCCAAGAACATAAATCTTAGCCGTCTGCACATTCAAGGAAGTTATACATAATCACCCAGAAAATAGTAGAAGATTGTCTAAGCCGCCTTTTCAACGTGCATCCATTTCCAGTTTCAGACAAGTGCATGGGAAAACACTCACTCTAAAATCTTTAATTGAAATCTCATGGATATCAATCATAGCTGCCGTTAAACAGCTCATCTTCTGCATGCTGTACTTTAATGCCACGTTTCCAGAAAGCCAAGAACTTCTCTAACCTACCATGTGTTTTTTCAGCTCAATCCTAAAATTAAATTACATTTCCTGCTTGAAATGTTCATCCAGGATGCCCATTATAGTGGAGAGATCTGTGTGTGTCTGTTTGGCCCACTGGAAGACTTTTCTTTTTCCAGTGCCCTGCAACAACGGTGCACTGAATACCAATTAAACACTTCATCAACCAAGAAGACAGAAATCCCAAAAATACCATCCCCAAACAAGCACTGTAGTGTTCAGCAGTGCCACTGCCTCAGGGAAGTTACACCAGCAATTTCTGCCAGAAGGTCTCAGAAATGTCACCAACCTTTACGCTCACAAGGGCAAAGAATTCACAGGTTCCCACGATACATTAAGAAGCTTCTAATTCTGTCACTGAGGTTGCCAAAACAAAAAAGCTGTATTATTCCTATACAAAAATATCTTGTCATTAAAGCGCAGAGGCACATTCAGTCTCAGCCTAAACTGCTGGAAGGCAGAAGGGGAGAGTCATTCGACCAGCAACTCGGGCCACACAGATCACGAAGCAACAAGGGCAGCCTTCCATTTACAGCTTTGAAGTCACTTCCCTCCGGCGATCAGCCCCCCTCTTGTAGGGGCAGGAAACTGCAAAACAAAATGCTCCTTGCTCACTCTAGCACACCAACACACAGACATATGCTTCAAGAGAGGCAGGCATCGCCAAGCATTTAAGAGACCTGAGAATTTTTTAGTAATAAATCAACATTTTCTTTGAATCTATCAGGCTCTCCACAGTTAAATACTTCGTTTGACTACGATTTACTTTGAACAAAGTACAAGGAAAACATCATTTAAAGCTCATAACACATCTGAGAACAGTTACAAGCACATGTCCAAATATTAGAGAAGGGGGAAGAAAAGACCCAAACCGTAAACCTTATTTAGATTAGTCGTTACACAAAATGACCCTGCAGCTTTTTTGATCCAAGACTATTTCAATAACCCAGTAATCCAAGATGCTTACATAACAGGAGAGGTAATTTGAAGACAATGCTAGAGAATTAAGTTAATTTTCTTTTTAACAGTGGTCTCCAACCAATACTGTGACTTAAAAAAAAAAAAGAGACATCTTGGAGAGAAACTATGCCACCCTCAAAGGGTTTTGAGAGCAGAAGTGAGAATGTCCCACAACTGTCAAAGATCAACAACAGGCAAAAGTCACTATCACAGCCTCAGGCTAGCCTGAGGTTACACTAGTGACAAGAAGCAACTTACATCAACTTGTAAACTTTATATTAGATAGGCCAGAAAGCACCCTGGACTTTATAACTCATGGAATACCCATACAATATTAGTTTTAAGTTTAAAATTAGTGGTTTTGGTATGTTAACACAAAAGCACCGAGCAGTAATTTCCTTAATTTCAGAAAGCTGACTGTACTTGCTGATCACAAGTGTCCCACACTAACATCAACAGGCCTGAAACAGCAGTTACCTGGGGAAGGCGGAGAGGGAGACAGCCCACTGGGGCTTCTGGCACTCAAGATGCACAGATTATCTTAGAGCATGCTGCAAGGATTCTACCTGGACACAACTACTGAAACAGCTGCTACAAGGGCTGGTTTTTAAGGGTACATGATTTTTACAAAGTTTCCCATTACAGAAATCACAGCATATTGATGCAGTCATTTTTTTTAAATATTTTTTAAGAGTAAGCATACCAGAATACCCACACAGTCATCACCAACACACAGTTCTTACCCTTAAGAGAATGAGTTTTTCAGAAGCAGAATCCTGCAGCAGACCCCATAGGACTCACTCATAAGGCTGCGATAACAATAGACATTAACGGGCAGTAATAGTGGCAAGAAAGTTACCTTGCCTTTCTCTTGAATCCTCTTCTGCACCTCTGGGACAGGAACATCTATATAAATGACCAAGTGAGGCTGCAGGAATTCACAAATGCTGATCTCTTTGATCTCCTTGTAGTGATCAACACCTGTACAAAAAACAAAACCAAACACACTGGAGAGCTAAGACAGCCCAGCTGAACACGTCGAGGATGAGGACAAGTGCAATAGGAGCAGCATCACAATCATAACCTATCAGGTAATGAATCTACAATCATTTCTCGAGTGTTTTTTTCCTGCATTTGCTAATCTATTTGCAAATAAATCACATCCCCTACCTTTGTATTTGTAGTCTCCCCTTCTTAGCTGATATAGCAAGTTGAGGTTAGGCTTTTCCTCAAACAGGATTCAGGAAGAGTTTTGAATAAACAATCTTCCAGAAACAAAGTAAACCACAATTAAACTAAGAAGCTACATGCACTGAGACATAAGAATCTATCACCAGTTACATCAAAGAGGGGATTTATTTCTCACTTACGTTTAGAGAAACCTAGGTTATTCCTCCATCATTTAGAAACAGCCTCTCTCAAAACACCAGGGAGACTGCAGCACTCAGGTCACCTGAGGTGACCACTGGCTGGGGCTGCCTTCTGCCACAGCCTCGTACACGAGATAAATGGCCCTGTCCTACCACAAACATGATGGTGAGGCAAAGGTGATAATGCAAAAGTCATGTGCTTCAAGAAGAGTAATGATACTCTGCAAGAAGTACTCTTATTAAGGATCAGGCACACCCTTTGCCTTGCCCTCTGATGCATACTCAAAATCACCCTGGGGTAAAGCAAATATTTTATGTGGTCAGCAACCCAGCAGTGTCCGTCCTTACCTGTACTGGAGGTACTCTGCACTACTGTTACTCAACAGCTCTGTGCTCTACATGAGCAACAGCAGACCTTCTCTCCAAAAACATGACAGCCATACTCCACTTGGGAGGCCAGGACTGGAAGACCTCACCTTCTCATACAGGAAAAAAATAATGTATCTGAGAGGAGGTGGTCAGTTCTGTGCAACTGGGTTCTTCTACCACATCAGTCAACAGCCTAAAGCATTTCAGGGGCAACAGCTGGTGATTAGAAAGCCACACAGGTTCAGGGGAAGCATCTATTCAACATTTAAGTAGCACAAATAGCACAGATTCCATTTAATCTAGCTCAAGTGCAAGCTTTCCTCAACAAGAATCACCAGCTTAGCCAGAAACGTAGCACCAGGCTTTCAAATTCAAACAATTTGTGAAAAATTTAAAGCCTACTGTGCTTGGCACCAGAGTAAGCAGCAGTCAGCAGTACCTCTAATCAAGACGTTTGCCATTTATGGATTTCAGTACAATCCATTATTTGTAGTTGGAATTTTATATTAAACAGAAATTGTGGGTGGCCAGGCTTTGTTTGCCTCGCCAGCGCAGAGTAGTAAGACACAGTTCATTATAACCAGCTCTCAAACTCATTCAGCAACAAGTTGCAACTTAGAGCAGGTGTTAAGAAACAAATATACACCTCCAAAATCTAAGCCAAATCAAACAAGACAGCAGAAACACGAGGCAGTCAGTGAAACAATTACTTTCACCTCAGGAGTAGCCAAAATACCAGATTTGCTAAGTACAGGCAGAAACAAGAACTTCAATAGCAATCTACTGAGGGGTCAGCTGATGACTGGGCTTTACTGTTATTTTCTACAGACTTTCAAACTTTTGTTCAGCTGTAAGGTGCCAGCTGTGGCTGGTGTCCTGTGTATGTCACCTAATGGCTCCATTCCTAGCCAAGGGACAGACTCCAAGTGTCTGCCCACAAGGCACCAGTACAGTAACACCACGCTGCTCAGCTCAGTGTCCATAACCCTGAACCATCAAATCACTCAGGGTGGAAGGAACATCTGCAGATAATCTGGTTCAACCACTCTGCTCAGAGAGAGGCCAAGTAGAGCAGGTGGCTTAGGACTGTGTCCCAGTGTTCTCAGCATCTCCAGGATAGAGATCTGACAGCCTCACCAGGCAATCAGCTCCAGGGTTTGACTACCTTCAAAGTAGAAAGTGTTTGGGATTTTTGTTTTACAAGTGGAGCTTTCTGTATTTCAGTTGGTGCCCTTTGCCTCTTGTCCTCTCATTAGATGCAACTGAGAAAATAGTGGTTCCATTCAGTAGTCCTTCCCATCAAGCATTTATGCACATAAATACTATCAGGTATTTATACAAATCCCCCTGACCCTTCTCTTCTCCAGGCCAAAAAAAATCCCAGCTCTCTCAGCCTCCTCTCATGCACTGGATGCTCTAGTTTCTTAGTGACCTATGTGGCCCTTTGCTAGACTTGCTCCAGTAAGTTGAAATGTTTCTTTCAACTGGTAGCCCAGAGCTGGGCACAACACTTCAGATTTGGCCATCACCTCCCTTGTCCTGCTGACAACACTCTTGTTCATGCAGCATCCCGGTGGCAACCTCTGCTGCAAGGGCACATTGCTGGCTTCCTCTCAACTTGGTGGCCATCAGGACACCCAGGTCCTCCTCTGCATGACTTCCTAGACTGGTAGGAAGTCTTCCTTCCTGGTTCCCAGCATATGTGTGTGCCTGCAGTTATTCATTCCCAGGTGCAGGACTTTGCATTCCCTTTTGCAGAACTTCATGAGGCTACCATCTATTTCTCCAGCTTGTCCAGGTTAAACTGAACAGCACCAAAAACATACGGTGTGTCAACCATTCCCCTCTCAATTTTGCAGTACCTGCAAACCTGCTGAGGCTGCACTCTGTTCTGTCATCCATGAGTGACCAACCTCCAGTTTGACTTTGCACAACTGATGACAACCCTTTAAGCTCAGCAGTTCAGCTGTTTTCAACCCACTTCACAACCCATGTATCTAGCCCATACATCAGTTGGCCAACAAGGCTATGATACACAGTACTAAAAGCCTTGCTTAAGTTAAGATAAATGATACCCATTGCTCTCCATTCATCCACTGAGCTAGCCTTCTATGAGGAGTTCACTATCAGGTGTTTAAGCATGACTTCCCTTTCGTAAAACTATGATGACTATTCTCCATCACCTTCACAACCTCCTTATGTTTGGAAATGGCTTCCAAGAGGATGTGCTCCATCACCTTCCTGCAGAATCCTCTTTGCCCTTCTTGAAGACAAGGGCAACACTGGTGTTCTTTGAGATTCAAAGGGGAGCTGGCCATTTAAGGCAAGTAGGCCAAACCCTGCTGACACATTATTTACCTTCCACCTAATGCTGTAAGATCGCAGTCTGCCTGAAGGACCTCTAGTCTTTGTCAGCATGCTCACCCACATAGCCAGGGAACTATAGGAGACTTTGTCTGACAGGACACAAGCAATAAACAGAGTATACATTCCTTAACATATAAGCAGAACCAAAAGCCCTGAAGAAAAACTGGAAAGTCACAGCTTGAGGCTGGTCCTTGATGTACAGAACAGCAAGGTGCTAAGCACCTTATGAACAACTCTGAATAATTAAAGGAGTCCGCAGGCGTTTTTGTTTCTTTTTCAAAAAAATAAACTACCCCACTTCTGGCTGAGTTTAGGGCAAAATAACTTTCTTTTGCATGCAAATAACTTACATCGCTTGTGGATATAGCCTTGTTTAAACATCGCATCCAGAAACACAAAGTCGCTGTAGGGAGAGCGCTCCATCACCACACCTTGTCCTGCAATTGAAAGTAAGTTCCAGTCAGCACAGCTCAAAGAGACTGCTGGCAACAACATTTAAAATTAAAAAGTACTGCTCTTATGATAAATTTTCTGACTGCATTTCTAGAAATTTAAAAAAAACCAAAAGAGCAAGTTTTGGTTCGTACAAACATACTGGATACATATGCTGAATATACATCCATATATATATATATATATTCTACTGTGGCTCATTAGAGTAGTTAAGCACTACAATGCTTAAGGAGTACATTTATATTTGTGTCTGGGACACTTCCTGGTATCCGTGTATTTTTTTCATCTTTTTTTGGAAAGCACTTATTAAAGCACAAGCTTTAATGATGAACAAGCTTTAAGGATAAATCAGTGTTGGCATGGGAAATCTTTTCTCACCAGAAGACTCCCAAATTATAACACCACCACCACAAAACAGTATTTAATGAAATCAAAAAGACTGAACAAAAGACTTCATTAGGAACTACATCTAGAGAGAGTTTTAAAAAGGCTGTACAACTCACAGCTAACTTGGTATGTTTAAAATTACTTTTTGAAAACAATCATCAGTGATTGACAGATTAAAACTAATGACATCTGTAACTGGCACATACTTCTTTTGCTATAAATGATATATGATCCTGTTCTAACACAAAATACGCAGGACATTTTTCTAAATGGACTGATAACTTGAATTCACTACAGGGGAAAAATTTAAAAAGCTTTGCAACATAACAGCCTTTCATTTCAAAACGCAAATACTAGCAAAGCAATTCAGAGCAGCTTATGCACAACTCACACTCAAATTAATTTAGAAATGAAATTTATTTACTGTGAGGTCTAACCTGTGGACAGCAAATGCTCCAACGCATCAGCATACTGTAAAACACGGTTACCAAACAGCCAAGCTTGCAGGCGGTAAGAGTGTCCATCTGGGCATTTTGGATCATCATAAAATCTCTCTAGGTTGCAGAAACCATTAAATTTCTCGTGCAGCAGCGTTCCATCTCCTGTGATTCTGTCTAGGTAATGGATGTCTGCTTCTGGGAAGTATTTCATTCCTGACCAAAAAAATCCCAAACAAGAACACAACAGAACACAATAAAATAGCAAGTTTAGGGCTTTTACAATAAATATCTGTTCAGCTTCTTTAACTATATAGCATTACGCAAAATAACACTTGAAAACAGCATGCAAAAGCCTTTGGTCAGTCACACCACAGAGGGCAGACAAACGCTAATACTGCCACCTTTCACCTCCACAAGGAGAGCTGAGCTACTGCCCTAAGCAGAATACCTTTGCCAGCAATCCTCTAATCACCTCAACGCGCTGCATACCCCCCTGCAGAAAATCCAGCCTCTCAAGGTGCTCGGTGTCTCCACCAGAGCCAGGAGCTCAGCGAGGAAACCGACTTTGTAAGAAGTGAAATTTCATTCACAACAAATCATTTACACAAGTGTCCCACAGATCTGACAAGCATCCCATCCTCATTTCAAACCTCAACAGCATTTTATCTATAAAGCCCTCACAGAATGGTTTGGGTTGAAGGGACCTTAAAGACCATCCAGTCCAACCCCTGCTGTGGGCAGGGACACCTCCCACCAGACCAGGCTGCTCAAAGCCCCATCCAACCTGGCCTTGACCACTTCCAAGGAGGGGGCATCCACAGCTTCCTTGGGCAACCTGTGCCAGTGCTTCAGCACTCTCATAGTGAAGAATTTCTTCCTTATATCTAATCTAAATTATCTTCTTTAAGATTAAAGCCATTACCTCTTGTCCTATGACTATGTGACCTTGCAAAAAGTCCCTCTCCAGCAGGAAATCTCCTTAAATCATGTATGTAAGGCTTCAAAGCACTTTCATAGGTGAATGTCAGCACATAATTTAATTCAAGGGAAAAAATAAAAGCTGGAAAGCCAGTTTACCTCTCAACTAAACAGTTGATGTTGAAAATGAACCCTGCCACCACTGGCTACTGCAGCTGAGGAATGACCTTACTATATCTTTGTGCCTAAAGTTTGCTACCAGGTAGAGCAAATCTTAGTTAGAGCAAAATTCCTCTACCTGAAGCACAAGCACAAGTTTTTTTTGCTCAGTTCTGCTCTCAATTTCATGCTAGTTTTGATGAGAGAATTTATTTCATCAGTTATACTGATGAATCATTTATGGTTATGGGATTTAGCACAGTAAGCATTGTGATTTTCTTCTCCTATGTGAGCCAACAGGTAATAATAAAGAGCCTGGATATGTTATTCACATAGTTTAGCTCCTCAAAATGCACGGCCATAGGCTTTGTGGTGCCCTCCCTTATCTATAAGCTGTCCACATGAACTGTGGCATTGCCCAACTATATAACTTCTTAGTGAAGAACTGCTGGTTTGGTGAACTACCTTTCTTTACACAAGAATCACAATAACACTGTTAAATTCTAGTAACTATAGCAGAAGTAGGGAAAACAAGACGTACCTAGTTTTTCTGCTATTTGTTTTGCAAGCTTGCCCTTCCCAGACGATAGGTTTCCCTCCACTGTAAAGATTTTGCTGTATTCAGTGAACTTTTTGGTAGCCCTCTCTCCCAACATATAAGCCAGCCAACCATACTGCAAATTCTGCCTGGAGCTGATATGAATTCTTGCCTGAAAGAAAACACAACAACAAAATCAGCATAGTTCAGTTTTCTTCGCTGAAGTAGGCATGCTCAAAGTGTAGCTTTTTCAGACCTTCTGCACATGCAGCAGCATACACACTCGCATATCTAATACAAGGGGTTTTCATACAGTAGTTAGCACTGCCATTTCAGCCCAGCAACTGAAGCAGTATTTAGGTTGAGAAGATGTTTACGGAATGCAAGACTGAGAAGCCTGAAACCATGAAACAATTTTCAGTGTATTGAAGCTTGAAGCAGGGCTGCTCTGCCACAACTCTGCTCTTAACCTACACCATACCTGAAACTTCTCAGGCTTCCTGAAGGCCACACACGGTGTGCCTGGCATTTTCAAGCAAGATTTTAGAGCAGGCTTTTGTTTGCACTTTTGCTTGGTGGTTGTTGGGTAGATATTAATATTAAACCCTCTCCTAGTCTCTGAGGACCCTCTACAATCTTTCAGGGGAGGTACAACTCTATTTCTGGACAAAGGTGGAAAGAAACACCCACCTTGCCTATAGAGCAGTACCTTACTAAGTCCTGCTCAGCAAAGCCACCCAGAGACACCAGTAAAAACTAAGTCTTATTTTAAGCAACGCAATGACCCCACTTACACAAAGGAGACTTTATTTTTATTTAACATTCTTCTGCTTGCACCGCCAAAGACCATATTCACACTGGGTCACTGTACTCTGGGCTGAGGTATTTACTTGTGCCTCTACCTTAAATCTCGCCTCCTCTCCGAAGGCCGTCCATTCGCGCACGGGGTCTGGCCTCTTCTAAAGACTAACCCAGCCTCCCCCCGCCGTGTGTCC